TATTGTGGAGTAATAATTATATAATCATGACCTTGTACTGAGCTATTGCAGGACTCACAGATATTCCAAGACTTTCTGGCCTCTGAGTATGGACAGCCCTGTCAGAATCAGAGAGGAAGAGCTTTGAAGAGTTGTGTGTGGGAGTGATGTAGAAGAGGACATGAGAAGTCCTTTCCTTGGGGCAGGAAAGGGAACAAGGCCACTCTGATTTTTCCTATCCCCATAATTTCAGGCAAATCCAGCTCTTGGTGGCAGCTCTTCTGTGGGAATGGCACCATCCTTGAGAAGAGCTCTCGGTGTGGTTGACAGCTGAAAGCTTGGTTAAAGGAATTGTCCAAAATGTGCTCTGCTCTGCACAGGTCACCTTGCTCGTCTTCATTTGTTACCAAGCTGTCTGGAAGAAACTTTTGGTTGGCTGGTTTGATGTCACTCAAAGATGATGGGGAACATGATAATGAGATCTAATTAATAATGAACAAAATGATGGAATATAATTAATATCATTCAAGAAGAATGTTGGGAAAATGGGTCTTGTGAGAACAGAATTTTCTCAAAGTTTTAGAAGACACAGATATCTGGGTAAATGTGGCAAGTATGTTAGGGTTTTGTCCTAGAACAACATGACCCTAAAAATGGGATTGTGATAAATGGACTAAAAACTTGTTTCACATATCAAAAAGCAGTTGTCAAGGAAAAGCCTCAAAGGCAGGAGGGCTGTCTTGAAGGCCTGGTGGTGCTCAGTGTTTTCATTTGATTTGGAGCAAGCATGACTTTAAACCTCACTTAACTCACAGGTGATGTGGACATTAGAAAGAGAGTAAATAGTATTGAGGCTGAGAGAGCTGTATAAAGCTGTCTGGAGTTTTGCTTGCTTTCTCTTCAAATAAAATTCATTTTCTTACATATTTTTAAATGCAATGTTCTGCAAGGTTGTACCAGCAGGACAGGCAAGGGACTGCACAGCCTCCAGGCAAGGTGTGATGTGACCAGGAGCTTACTGTGGTCTTGGAGGATACCAGCAGAAGTAGTGAAGATGAGAATACAAGCTGATTTTTACCTCTGTATGCATTTCTGCACTAAAATGTAGACTTCAGTTCTGTTCTCAAAAGGGTGTTTAAAACCTGGGGAGATTGTTATAAAGATTCAAGGCCAGGAGAAAAAAAAAATGCCAGTGTGAGAGACATAGAGATCTCAGTCTGTTTAACTTGTCAAAATAAGATTGAGAGATAGCTCATCTTCACTGCAGAAAAGTCTTTCTAATGAGAACACTTAGCAGCTCTTGGGGTAGAGGAGGGCACTGAAAAAACCTGATGTGTGAAAGCTGAAACCAGGCAAACTTAAGCCACGTCTCTAAATGTCAGGTAGTAAAATAAACCATGCAGGCAAATGGTAGATTCTTCATCTCTTGATATCTTCAAACCCGGTGTGCGCAGTGCTTTAGAAGATATTTTTTATCCAAACATAAATTGTTTGGCTGAACAGAGCAAAATGGAAGCACCTGTCAACACTGAGAACTTGGCAGAGTGACTGCTGGGCCCTTCTGGTTGTTGGCGTCAGCGAGGTGCTGTGTATCTTCATCCTGGATATTTGACCAAAAAATTTTGTCTTCTCAAGGTCATCTCGGAGTAAAATCCCTCTTAGTGATGTGTTGAGCTGCAGGCTTGACTGACTGCTTAACCTCTGTTGTTTGCTGCTTAATTGGAAGAGGTGCAGGGAATAAATCTAGTGACACTGCAGAAAATGTCGATACTGGCTCTTACTTGTTTCAGATAGCACTGACAAATGAAGGCAAATGGTTTTGCCAGGCAACACCCACACAGATGCATATCATTTACCTTCTGATTGGCAAAGGTGTCGAAGCACAAGGATTTCAGGAAGAAGAGGAGGCACAGCCCTATGCCATGCTCCACACTGACCAGAGAATGAGTAATGGTAGGTGACTGTTGCTTGTGAAACACTTTTGGCTCACAGATGAGAAGTGCAGTGTCATCCATAAGTATTTCCTTTCCAGGTGTGCTACCCCTGGTCTGTCCTCCTCTCCCAGCTGATGGGGCTGGGCAGTTTAGGAACTTAGATCTCCTTTTTGATGGCATCTCTGGTGCTTGTGGTGATCTCTTACCACATTTCAGTCATGCCTCTGGCTGTTGTGGTTTGGGAGCTTGCCTTTTTGGCAAAACAAATTATTCCCCTTCTGTTCAAAGGAAACTTTTGGCAAAAAGAGACTGTAGGGACAGAAAGGTTGGAGAAACGTTTCTCCAGAATAATGAGATATCATTTGTAAGATGCAGGAGTTGCTGTGCATCTCCGTCTGGAAGAAGATGGAGGAACAAACAATTTTTGTCCTTTATTCCCATTGTCTTGTTTTACAGAGATTCTTGATTAAACTTTTGCCATTTTATCCTTTCCTTTTTTTTTTTCCCTTTTTCTTCCTTTGTATTTTTTTTTTTTTCTTTCTTTTTTTTAATCTGAAAAAGCAATCAAGACTAGTAGAAAATGACCCATCCAGCAGTAGTGGAAAGCTGTGCATGTGGTGCTCTACAGCTGAACTCGCCCCCGTGCCAGCTAAATATCTGGTACAGTGCCCTGGTGCTCCCACACTGCTGCCTTTCCTTGCCTTTGGGCCCTTCTGCTTCATTTCACTGCCTTTCAATCAGGAGATGGTTGATGGAACAGAGCAAGCACCTCCAAACCCTTGCTCTGTCCCAAGCCTCTCGTTTGTTGCCAGCTGTGGATGAATCGTCTTTTAATTTTGAGTGTCTCCAGGCACATCTCGTTAGATTGGGGAAAGAAGAGATTCTTTTTTTAAACAGATGTTGCATGGCTGGGCAATGGGGCATTTTTAATTTGTTTCCTACATTTATGACATTTGATGCTTTGACTGCTGGCAGAGCTCTTGTGAGGACTAACCTCAGAGGGCAGGAGGATGAGCGCTCTGAGTGCACACGTGAGGGAGGGATGGGCACTGGTGCGTGTGGATGACTCGGATATTGTTTGTGGAGGTGAATGCAAGACAAATGAAACAGACCATCAAGTCTGCCCGCATGGCTGTGGGATGTGCCCTCAGAGGAACCTACAAACCCCATCAGAGGCTCCAGCGAGATGCACGAGGCTAAAGAGGGTGAATCAAAGGGAGCTGCTTTGCACTGGTTGGGAAAATAGAAAAGCTTCACTTTTGTTGATGCCCATATTGTTATTCTTGCCTGAAGGTTTGGATTTTGAAAGCACATGAGAAATATGTTTTACATTTGTGTAACTTCCTGATTTATACAATGTGCTTCATGCATTGCTCTAGGCACACAAACAGTACAAGCTGTAGTTAACGTTAACCCAGAACATGCAAATTCAATCCCCTTAGCTCACAGGGACATGTGTACACAGGCTGCACCATATGTGGGGACAGCAGCTGGTACAGAGCCCTGGGCTCAGCACGTTTACCCGGTTGGAAACCTCATGATAGTAGAGGAAAAGGTACTTTACAGCTGTATTTATAGGAGAATTTTTGTCTTTGCATTTCCATGTAGATATAATTGGAGAAGTGGGATAGGAAGCATTTCTGATATCTTACTGAATTTTTTTTCTAAAGTCCCTCTTCGCACCAAGATCTAAAGAAAAATGTTTTAGGTCAAGCAGCCTGCTACAAATAAGAGTGTATTTTAGGCAGGTTATTACAGATACCCTCATATTTCCAGAGCAGTTCAGAAAGTGATTCACAAGAAGTTCCACCTGAATACGAGGAAGAACTTCACTGTGTGGGTGCACTGGAACAGGTTGCCCAGAAAGTTGTGGAGTCTCCCTCACTGGAGATATTCCAAGAACCGTCTTGACGCAATCCTGTGCAGTGTGCTCTAGGATGACCCTGTTTCAGCAGGGAGGATGGATCAGATCACCCACTGTGGTCCCTTCCAACCTTACCCATCCTGTGATTCTTTGAAAGATTTGCTTTCTTTAATATTTGGCAATCCTGAGTTCTCCAGACTCAGTTGCTGGGTCATTTCTCCTCTGGAGGTGGTACTCAAAAAAGCTGGAAGGTTTCTGAGAGCACTGTGGGTCAGAGGTTTGTTGCCTGAATCCAGGGTAATGACTGGGTATCATTAGAGGATTTAGATAATTTTTGCTTTGTTCAGAAAACTTGGAGCAGATGTGTTTCAGGATGAGTGCTCTATGTGGGATGAAATCTGGAGCTTCCTAACACCAGCTACAGCAATTAATAGTAATGGTATTCATTACATATTCATTACATAACATGGTTTGTTCTGAGAAACAGACTGCTTGAGATGGAGGATGAAAATAGCAGCTGTTAATTTCAGAGGGCTGAGCCTCTGAACACTGCACCCAGGAGGAACCAGAATCCACTTAATTCCCTCTATGCTGTGGCTGAGGGCGTCTACCAAGGGGAACAGTCCTCTCCAGGGTTTTCCATTGCTGGTGCCTTTCCAGTGCCACCAGGGAACATTTTGGCTGTGCCCAACTATTCCTGTGTGGCTGGTCTGGGAGGGCTCCTGCTTTCATAACACCTCTGGTGCTGCCTGGCCTCTTCTTCCCCCCTGCTCACTCAATGTCCACTAGGACCTGCCACTCTTTGTGCTGTTCTACACAACCTGAGGCAGCAACGTGGGATTTGGGAAAGGCTTGGAGGCATCAGGCTGTAGAGCTCAGCTGTGCCCGTGGTTGCTGCTACTGTGTTCCCTGACTGGGTAGCTCTGGGTGTAGCCAGCTGGTGTGGCTGCCTGCTCAGTGGATAATTAATTGGTACAAATGGTTGGAGTGGGTGGGGAGGGTGTGCATGCTCTGAGTGTCTGCTGGGCCTGACATGGTGAAGCAGTGAGTGTGTTCCAGAGGTGGCTCAGGAGCTGCTGATGAAGCAGGGCTGAGTAAGGGAAACGTTGCGTGACAGATGCCAGGCTGGTCTTCAGAAGACCTTCTCTGTTTCCCCTTGGCTCTGTCAGTGCAGAAGGCTCTGGGAATAGAGGCTGACTGCCTTTCTCCCCTTGTGTTCCTAGATGGTGATGGTCGGAGACTGAAAGGAGCCATCCAGAGGAGCACAGAAACTGGCCTGGCTGTGGAAATGCCCAGCAGGACTGTCCGTCAAGCCAGCCACGAGTCCATCGAGGACAGCATGAACAGCTATGGATCAGAGGGAAAGTAAGTCATCAAAAGGGAGTTGGCTAATCACTCATGGGATGTGCTGTCCCTGTATGTATTAAGTTTCTTCCAGCATGATGGACATTGTGTTTTTCTGACTTGCCTGTGCTGCAGGTGTACTGCCCACCCAATTAGAGCAGATCTCTCTGTCTGCATAGCTGGCACATACTCGACTGTTTATATACTTTTTTTAGTGTCCTCATTACTCTGAGCTGAAGCAGATACCCATTACTTTTAACCGCTTTGCCTTTGGATGAGTAATTCAGGGTCAATAGCAGAGGCTCATTACTGCTCGTAAATTATAAGCCAGTAGTTTCTAATGTTGCACAATAGTCCATTTCCCCTCTTCAAAAATAGCCCTTTGGTTTGGGGCAGGCAGAAGTTTCAAGGTGCTGAAAAGGGTGAAAGTAATAAAATACATGATAGCATAGCAAAATTCTGATATCAAAATACATATTTTGGAGCCTGTGTGTACTTTGGTGAAAAACTTTATTTTGTTTCATCTGAGTTACAGTGTCCTAAAAGAATGTGTTTCAGAAAAGATTTTTCACCCCAAGAGAAGTTACAACACACTTGCATTTACACTTCATAGCAGAATGCAAAGCAGGGGATCTTTAGGCCAGAACTTTGGGACCTGACTTGTCTTCAATTCTGGCTTTTGTATTTCCATTACTTAAAGCCATATATGGAAATTTAATAGTTTTACTAAGATGACTGTTCATGGCAATCTTTGGAAGCAAAAAGCCCACAGTATTTAAAAAGGAAGCAGTTTGTACCATTCGATTTTATGCTTTCTAGGTGCGAGTCCAAAATGTTTCTATACCTAAAAGGTGTCTGTTTAAGCCAAGGACCACACTTGGCATCATTCTGTATGCTCTCTCTAGTCCTGTGTGATATTCCGAGTACACTGTACAGCTAAAATGCTGAGATAGTCCAAAGGCACTCTCAATTAATGTGATTCTGGTGTTAAATAAGTAACAGGCTGTAAATGAAGAGACTTTCTTTAGCTTTAGAAGTAGGCTAATCCTGGAAAGGCATCATAGATCTGTGCTGAAGGTTCAAAATAGTAATGAGGCACAGACTGCGATAGCAATCTTGTCACTCAAAAGCTGTGATGTACCTTATCTCTTCTGTGAGCTGCTGTCTCCAGGGAAATATTCCTGCTACACCAGCACAGTCCTGTGGCTTGGAGTTCTGCCTCCGCTACTAGATGCAGAGGATTAGTGATTAAGTTCAGTCCCTGGGCAATGAGGAGCAAGAATCTGCTTTCATGCAGAATAAAATTCTTTCCTTTTTATATTTACATAGCTTACCCTCCTGGGAAGGTGTGTAATTCCCTGAATGGTCTGTGTCCTCTCACTGCATACAGCAGCTGCTTTGTTGGGCTTTCATGGAGGGGGAGTATTTCTGCCAACAAAACGCTGCACCCCTACAAGTGCTGTCTCACCGTAAGTCAGGTGATGTGTAGCTATCAGCTCAACAGAAAAAGGGAAAAGCCTGTCTTGCAATCCAAGTGTCTGTATTAGAACAAGCCTAATGTTTGGTATTCCAACCTTGAGCGCTGCCAGATCATCCTTGCCAGCACCTCGGCCAGAGATGGGGTAATTTCTTCTCTGAAAAGTGTGATTAAGTGGTTCCTGGATGCTTTGTTCCTAGGTGGGATAATTAATCTCTTCTGGGAACCCGGTGGGAATTGCAGCTATCTGTCTGAGCCACAAGTGATAAGCAAACAGGGCTAAGAGTACAAAGAGCTAAGAGGACTCAATTCTCTTGAAACATGGTGGGAGGGGAGTTTCTCTGCTTTCTTTTCCTGCAGCAAAGAATGGAATTGTTTGGGGAATAGCTTTGAGGAACAGAAATGTGTTCTCCTAAATCAGATTTCTTTTGACCTCTCTTGTTTGCTGTAGCTGTCTTCCCAGGGAGGCAGAATGAAGATTCATATGTCTCTGTTAGATGTGGCAAGTTGATTTTCTTTCTAATAAAAGCTGGGTTTGTGACTGGTGCAGACTGGTGCAGGTCAGAGAGTTTTCACCAGTGACTGTCAAACCCCTGGTTTTCAGCAAGGCAATGCTGTTCTAGTTCTTTCCACCCATGCATCCCTTTGGTGTGTTCACACCTGGAAGAAGACAGATTCAAAACCTCTCAGCTTCTGTGTGGTTTTTATAATCCTTATCAATTTAAGGACTAAAAGGACCCTTCCAAAGGTGGCACGCTGAAGTGATCAAAGATTTGGTGAAACTTTGCTGCAGCAAATGCCTGCCCTCAGCCATACAAACTGCTTTTGGAAGGTGTTGCTCACTGACTGCTTTTTGTTTGTTGCAGGGAGCTAGTGGCACCTGCCACAGCTGCTCTGTGCTAGTGCAAGGTATCACAGTCAGAGAATATTCTGAAGTGCATGGTTTTGAGCAATGCTGCTTTCATGTGAACACCAGAGTGCATAAAATCCAGATTTTTTTTTTTCATGGACAGGCTTATTATGCAGGGACATACCTCTGAGATACGCTAGTCCTTCTTTTGAATACTCCCTTTATCTGAAGATGAAGTATACTGGAGACTAGCTGGGCTAAATGATGCATCTCCTGGAATTAAAGCTCATACAGCATGCCAGGAAACGCTGACCTTGTCAATACACTGCTTCATGTAAATTTTTGCCAGACAAAAAGTCCTCCAACCTTCTTACCCAGATTTTCTATTGCACAGTGGTCGTGTGCTAGTATAGACAATTAATATAATAAAACTCAATGTGGTACTTCATAGAAGGAGAAGTAGGTATTTACTCTGAACAAAACTGTTTTCAGTCATTCTCATGTCCAGGTTTCATTCCCTCACGCTCTCACCATCCCAGGCAGGCACCAAGCCTCATGAATCCAGGTGTTGGAGCCAGGCTGGGTTGGGTGCTACAGGGAGGACATGGGACGTCATCTGTCAAGCCCTCACTAGGTCTACGGAGTTGTTTTTCACAACAGACTGGCTCTTAGACTGTTTTTCTTACACTAGGACTTACCTGCTATTTTTGAATGATCTTTCACCTCAGGGTCTTGCTTTTTTTCCATCTCTGTAGATCTCAAGCAGCACTGCCACCTTTTTGTTCCCTTTTTTGGGGGGATCTTCATGGCTACAGTCTGCCCTCAAACAGGGTTTGGAAGTGATGTGCTCTCTAACCTTGTTGTCTGTTCTTCCCCTGTCGTTGGAGAACAGATCTGCTGCAGCCAGGTTGGTTGTGCTTTCACATACACAGATGTTTCCATTCATAATTCATCCACAGCAATCTTAGCACTGGTTACGAATCTCTATAGCAGTGAATATTTCCTTCTATGTCTATACTTAAAGATCTGCTTGAGAAAACAGTTGCCCACTGTAGTAAGTGCCTATGGGGTAGTCTTAGGACACCAGGATTGCTGCAAGGATACAATTCCGAATATAGGAATAACTCACAAACAGCCCTGTGAGATTCAGCAGAGTCTCAGCTCCATCCTGGCTCTTGCATGATCTACATCTTGTTTTGGCTGGGTTTTGCTGCAGCTGCACGAGACCATGTACAGCATTCAAAAAGCAGTAGATTCTGGACTTGCATGTAACTTGTTCCTGCCAAACACTTTTCTTCCTGAAAATGGAGCAGAAAGATAAAAATGGCCCTGGAACAAAAGCCTGCTAGCTGCTGTAGAGCCTAGTGAGTGGTACTCATAGTGTTTTTGTTCTTGCTGGCTACTGCTGAGATGATTAAGTTCTGGAGAGATCAGGTGATTTTTACCTTAGAAAAGCACAGCAGGTGGTGACTGACAAAGACTTGGAGGATTGTTCTTGTATTATCTGAGATGAGTGTGCAGGTCCAGCAAGGAAGCATCTTGTCGTTAGCCATCTCACCTCTCTTCTCCATGGTGAGGGCAGTACAGCCTGAGCTCTGCCCTGTTGTGCCCCGGGCAGGAGGCAGGACACAGCCTGGCACGGGTGCCACCAGCATGGGCATCTCACATCTCTTGGCTTTCTTCTGTCCCTGGTACCAGTTCTCCTGCTGGGCTGATGTGAGCCAACACTGGGACTTAGGCTGGGCCAGCTGCCTGCCCTTCTCTGCTTCACTGTGGAACAATAATTAACAGGAAGCAGGAGAAAATACTGGCCTGGGTTGTGACCACATGGCCATGGGAAAATTCCCTTCACCGGAAGTTATCCATCAGCATTCAAGAATGACCAAAAGACTTGATTCCTGAATGCCTCATTCAGGAGATTCACGTTGCAGCTATTCCCTGAATGTTTCTTTTTTGACGTCCAAAACCAGGAGGCTTGTAGACGCTTTTATAACAGATTATAAAGATTCAGGCCTCTTTTTATCTGAGTCCTTTAAAAAAATGTGATGAAACGTGTTGTTAATATCAGTTCAGGCTGTAAGAAGTTGGTGTCTTTTGAGATGGAAACCAGGAAAGGCTGGATAATAATGTAGATTATTTCTGTAATGTATCAAGAAATTCCTTAGCCTGTTCAGCAACAGCACATCCTTTTGTGATGGCAAAGCTTGACCAGCACAGCTTGGAAAGGATGTGACCTTGAGAGCTGTAGTTACAGCAGGAAATACAGTGAATCCCACCTTCAGCAACCTCTTGGGAACAGACAGAATTGCTCACTGAAGACAGGTAGCTATCTTTTATTCAGTGCATCTGAGATGACTAGTGATTGCTAAAAATGGAGCTAGCCTGGCAAGGTGGGGAAGGGAGTGGGGGAGGTCTTTGTACAGAATTCACTGCGTAGTTTTTATAGCACTGTTTCAGTGGCAGAATTCATACAGCAGAAGGAATAGGATACGCGAGCGGAGTACAATGTGTTACAGCACATAAGACAGCACGTCACAGTGCTAAAAATGCTACAGAATGTGGAGTGGCCCAGAGAGAAACAGAGCTTGTTGAGAGGCAGAGTTGGAGATCTTGCTTGGCAGAGGAGGGGTGTGCAGTTGGTGGGGTTAGGGTAGGTTTGGGTCCTGCAGGGATAGATTTGCATGGAAAACCTTC